CTCCAAAAAAAAATAATAACAACTGAAAAAGAAAAGGATTGCCCCCAACAGCGACATCGCGAATGTGACCTCAAACCCACCAATTCTAAGAATATGTTGTCAGTGCTCCACAAAGATGACTCAGGATTTCCAAGGTCATCGTCGTTTCTGTCGGATATTAATAGACAAAACAGAAGAAAAGAAAAGGCAGGAGTCAGGGTGGGAGGACAAGGGTTTGGAAAATAAGGCCAAGCCAGTGAACAGCCAGGCTCCCAGTGGCCTCGTCAGCCCTCGGCCTTCACCCAGCGCTTCCCTCTAGGCTAACTCTGTGCTGTGTGGTGCAGTGTTTAAAATGACCTTCCCAAACAAAGCGCTGTCCTGGCTGGGGACCACCATGTGGAGGCCCTGCTGGGAAGACACCCCCAATGAAAGGAGTGGTGTGTCTGGGCTATTAGTGGGGGTGGGACGGCCATTACACAAATCCACACATGGGGTAAAGCGGGGTAATCATCCCCCCATCAGAGGTGCTGACACACGTACGACATCTCTGCACAGTCAGGGAACAGCTGCTGTGAACTAGCGCCCCTCACTACCCAGCCCCGACAACGCATACGCCACGTGGGAAGCACCTTCAACTGCCCCTTCCCTGAGAAACTCTGTCCCAGACCATCTGCAGCCAAGGACTGGGGGTGTTGTTGTTTCTTTGTTTTTAAGTGTTTTAAAAGTTTATTTCTTTTATAAGAGGAGACCAAGAGAGAGACAGAGGCAATCCCCCCGACGGAGTCTTGGTGCCTCAATCCTTGCCTCCCAGCCTGTCAGCCAGGATAGTGGGCACGCGGGCCTCACACACGGCATACTCACCGAGACTCAAACCTGGGACTGTCCCACATGGCCTCAGCACTGCAGAGCGTAGTTTTACTGCTGCACCACCATGCAGGCCTTTGCTTTGCATTTCTGATTTACTGGGGAGTGACACTTTTGTAAAATTCAATAAAAATTAATTATTACGGCAATAAAACTAACAAAGATGTATTCAGGACAAAATGCAAGACCCACTAAAAAGGGCTTAGGATTCCAAAGCCCACCAGCTCCTCCTGCGGCTGGAGACACTGAGGGGCTTTCCCCCGGCCGCACAGCCCGACAG